AGATGCTTCTTGGTCCAATTGAAATAACATTTATTGATCTATAACTATGGGAAAGTAATTAAAGCCGCTTTACAGACCTGCTGGGGAATGGATGGGTGGAAATGTGATGAATCCCAGGCAACGATGGGTGTTCCTGAATGTCTTAGAGCCGAGACTGGGAAATACGTGTGAAATACTTGGCCTCTGATCCGAGGTATAATCACATTAGCATGTGCTTGAATGTTAGAGAATAAAATGATATGAATTAAAGATTCATTACTGAATTTTGAATTTATTTATGCTCTGCAATCTAAAGCTAATGCTTAATAGTTTAAATACGAAGTAAAAAAAAAGACAGAGTATAATTAAACAGCCAGTAGCTGTATACCAGACTGTACATTTTGTTTTAATAGTTCTTCGTTCAGGCCAAGAACGCCAACCCTTAATAGATGCAGTTGGAATTGTCCCCTTGGTATGTGAGGGCACTAAAATAGGAATAGAAAAAAAAAAAGAAACTTGTTTAAATTTGGGTTAGAATAGATAATAAGACTTATTAGAGCCGAAACCGGTTTGGCTCAGTGGATAGAGCGTCGGCCTGCGGACTGAAAGGTCACAGGTTCGATTCCGGTCAAGGGCATGTACCTGGGTTGCAGGCATATCCCCAGTAGGAGATGTGCAGGAGGCAGCTGATCGATGTTTCTCTTTCATCGATGTTTCTAACTCTCTATCTCTCTCCCTTCCTCTCTGTGAAAAATCAATAAAATATATTTTTTTAAAAAAAAGACTTATTAGAGACAGAAGAGTTGATTGAACTTGTACGAAAACTTGAAGAGGGAAGTCATATTAACCAACCACATGCCAGATCCTTTTACTGGTTACTGCCTTTGGTCCCCACACAACCCAAAACATTGCCAGTATTTTCTATGACTTCCTTCTCCCCTTGTCCCCATAAAGAAACGAAAGCTCGTCAAGGGAAGTAACTGGAAGTAACGTAGCAGCAAATAACAATTGGAACTTAAGCGCAGTTAAGTTTGATTCCATGGTCTATGTTGCTTCCACATCAAAAAACTATTCCATGAAAGTCATGTTCCCTTTTGAGGGAATGGAGGGAAGATCACCTTCATACAATCTCAAATTCTCCTCCCAAAGAAAGTTGAAATCTAGGAAAGCTGACATTGCTGAGTACCGGTTTTCTTGAATCCTTTACTAACTGAAAAATTTTACCCACATGCATATCCTATATAATAAAAGCCTAAAATGCTAAGTGTCCGGTCGTCCATTTAACCAATCCAAGTGTAATATGCTAAAGGTGCTCAAACACTTGCTATGATGTGCACCGACCACCAGGGGGCAGATGCTCAATGCAGGAGCTGCCCCCTGGTGGTCAGTGTGATCCCATAGAGGGAGCTCCACTCAGCCAGAAGCCTGGCTCACAGCTGGCAAGAACAGCGGCGGTGGCAGGAGCCTCTCCTGCCTCCGTGGCAGAGCTAAGGATGTCCGACTGACAGCTTAGGCTGTCAGTCGGACATCCCCCGAGGGCTCCCGGACTGCGAGAGGGCACAGGCCAGGCTGAGGGACCCCCACCCCCTATGAGTGCATGAATTTCATGCACTGGGCCTCTTAGTATTTATATAAAACCCTTCCCGTGGCCATTGCTAGAAATCTGATGAATAGAAACAAAAGGAACTTGTTTAACTTTGGGTTAGATAATAAGGCTTATTACACTTGGATTGGTTGAATGGACGACCGGACACTTAGCATATTAGGCTTTTATTATATAGGATATGCATGTGGGTAAAATTTTTCAGTTAGTAAAGGATTCAAGAAAACCGGTACTCAATAAGGCTCATTTCTAACTACTCTGTATGTTGAACTTTGACAAAACCTTGAAGAGGGAAGTAATCCTTGATGAAGGTGGTCTCCACTCATAACCAGGTTGCAGCTTTGCCAGGCAACTGCGAGAGCTCCTGTTCCAAATTGTTGTTACTCTAGTAATTGGTAACCAGCCCAGTGAGCTGGGATGGCCACTGAGTTTTAAGAACCACTTTGACATTCGTTGAGGACGTGAGTGAATGCGTTCTCTTATTGCCTTAATTTTATCAGTTGAAACTGTACCACCTACCTAATCACAGATTCTAAGAGAGGGAGTCCTAGAAGACGCCACTAAAAAATTAGTAACGTGAGTTTCAGCCTGAATCCTGATTTCCAAAATGGTAAAATGTGCTTTTGATATTGAGGAAATAGAGCCCGTCAATACCCTCAACCCTTCTCAAATGGCATATTTTACCCTTACTTCTGGAACTCTCTGGAACTCTCTCATTGAATCCCTTCATCTGCCAATATTTAATCTTCCTGAATTTCAGCTACTTAAGCATGATTCTATGGTTTTGTCAAAACAGTTGATTCCCATGGAATCGTGTTAGCATCTCTCAAGTGTTAAGCCAGTTATGGGAAAATTTTATGGAGCTGCTTTCTATTGAGATTTTCTGTGAATGATTAAAAACTGAGGTTTGCCTGGCTGGTGTGGCTCAGTGGTTGAGTGTTGACCTATGAACCAGGAAGTCATGGTTCAGTTCCCAGTCAGGGCACATGCCTAGGTTGCGGGCTTGATAACCAGTGTGAGGCTTGCAGGAGGCAGCCAATCAGTGATTCTCTCTCATCATTGATGTTTCTCTCTCTCACTCCCTCTCCCTTCCTCTCTGAATTCAATAAAAACGTATTTTTAAAAACGAGGTTTCATGGGTTAGAAACTTGTGGACTTGCTGAGGGCCATATACCTATGGTTAGGACGATACATCACTGGTCAGGACCATATGGCTTTTATTAAGATATTCTTCAGTACCTGATACTGCATGAGTTTAAAAGATGAGAAACCTCCGTACAATCACAAGTAAGGCTTTGTGTGGGGAAAACCTGTAGGACTAATACTATGTTTTAGGATGATGGATGAAGTCAGAAGACAGTTGTCTCTTTGATGAGTTTTGACTTGAGTATGAATGATTTCATTGTGTTTCTTTTACTGGTTCCGAAGATGAAATGGTACACGAAGTTGAGTTCTAGCATTTCTTTCATAGTTTTCCCCATCAATCTTTTGCTAAGTCATCAGAGGAATGTAGAAATACCTCATTATTAGCTAATGAATTTTGAAGACCAACCTTTGGCTTCACCATAAGGTTTTTTTGTTTTTGTTTTTTTTTTAAGGGATAGACTCTGTACACCTTCAAAGGGAGTCATTTCATACATGAACTTGCTATCTTTATTTGGGTTTTCTGCATTTTGATATATTATTTATAGCCACATTACTTCCATGAAAATCATTTGTTAATCCCTTTAATTTTTGAAATGTAGTCAAAGGTAGTTGGAGCAGTGTTTTTACTGATTTGAAACACAGTTTGTCCTATAAAGTTGCCCTATGTAGTCTAAGGTCTGAAAAGATTGGTCTGAGAGTCTTAAATTCTTAGATTGATATTTGAGGCGTAATATTTTTGGAAATGGAGATAGTGGAATAGTATTAGGATGGGAGTATCATGTTCTATTTGCTATGATATTTTTTGGTGAATCATGGGCCCTCTTCCCAGCTTCGAGCAGAAAAGCTAAATTATCTTGGTTAGAATTCCCATCCATCATATGCTACAGTTTCCTACTTGCTTTTCTTAATTCCTTCTTGGGATGTTGCCAGAATCAACAAGAAACTGTCCCTTGAGCTTTAAGCTTTGAGAGAAAAGTCATTGTAAAATGCCTCCGTTATCAAGACAAATACAACTAGTTTGTGATTATCCACTTTGTGATTTTCCTTCCAGAAATATTTAATTCTACAAGAGCTACGCTGGTTACTTGGCACAAATTGGATCAGGACCTCATTTCTAACTACTCTGTATGTGGGTAATACAGAATGCTTTGAATGAACCTGTGTCCAAACTGAGTTATACAACACACCGATTCCGAAACGCAGTACAACTCTCAGGCCACAAAATGCATTTAAGAACATACTCCCATTTTTGATGATCCATTCCGCTTCTCCCTCAGATAAACATGGGTAGTTTGTATATTAAGTGTGGATTTTAAAAAAAATTTCTTGATTAAGGCATTACAAATGTGTCTTTATCCCCCCATGGTCCCCTCATCCCCCCCAAAGAGTGGATTTTTAAGGAAGCACCTGTGCTCATCTCAATACCATAATCAAAGAATTGTTCTTTTATTAGAACAACTTAAAAAATGTATCACAGGAAATGCACCTGTCGTTTCTACATCAAACCCACCAGTTGAGGGATTGGAGTCAACCGTTTCCTGTGTCGGCAGATAGAGCATTGATCAGTGTAAAACGGGGATGTGACAGTAACAGGAGTGATCGGTCTGATTTTCTGCTATGAAGCAAGTTTTTCAAACCTAGGCAGTTAGTCCTGGAAAGACACTCACTGTTTAGCTTTGACTTTGGACTGGGCCCTATCCATGAGGGTTTGTATTTGTGGAGCAAGTGAGAGCTCAAATTTGTACACCCGCCCTCCCCCATTGAAATCCCTTGAGCTTGGTCTTTGCAGTGGGGCAAATGAATGCATTGCAGTGAGTGCCTTACCCTCACTGACTGCTGGGCCATGAACACTATTCTGGTCACCACAGCTCAAGATGGCCAGACCTCACAGCCCTAGCCAGTTTGGCTCAGTGGATAGAGCATCGGCCCGTGGACTGAAGGGTTGTGGGTTCGACTCTGGTCAAGGGCACATACTTCGGTTGTAGGCTGGATCCCCAGCCCCAGGAGGGGCGTGTGCCAGAGGCAGCCAATCCATGTGTCTCTCTCACATCGATGTTTCTCTCTCTCTCCGTCTCTCCTTCTCTCTTCCACTCTTTCTAAAAATCAATGGAAAAGTATCCTCAGGTGAGGATCAACAACAACAGCAACAAAAAAACAGACAAATAAATAAACAATTAATGAAAGAAGAAGAAAAAGTGGCCAGACATCTTTTCACAGCTGGCTGATGGCATTTATATGCTTTCTTTTTTCTTTCTTTTTTCTTTTTTTACAGCTGTTGTGAACTTGGACAATTCTGTGGTTGACCTGGAGACTCTTCAAGCACTTTATGAGAATGTGAGTAATAGAAGGAATTGGAAGTGTGAGTATATAATACGTACACACTACTTGTCACTGTACACAGCTAGGCTTGTTGCTTTAAGAAGGAAATCTGCCCTAGCCGGTTTGGCTCAGTGGATAGAGAGTCGGCCTGCGGACTGATGGGTCCCGGGTTCGATTCCTGGTCAGGGCACATGCCCAGGTTGCAGGCTCCATCCCTAGTAGGGGGCGTGCAGGAGGCAGCCCATCAATGATTCTCTCTCATCACTGATGTTTCTATCTCTCCCCCTCCCTTCCTCTCTGAAAACAATAAAAATATATTAAGAAGGAAATCTGATCTGGGTGCATTGTATGTATGTAAGTATAGGTTTGGCAAAATGCTTTCTAGAAACGCACGGAACAAGTGAGTTAGAAGCCAGTCTCTCTGGTAAGGGCCAGAAAAGTTGGGGTGCGAGATTTCCAGGCCAACTCCTTCACTTCCCCGGGCGGAAGCTGGGAGCTGGAATTTGCTGTGGGCTCATGGTGTGCCGAGCCGGGAGGGGGAGCTGTGGCAAGTGCCTGTAGTCTTGTTGCAACTGTTGCTCTGTTCTCGGCAGCCCCCAGGGGACCAGTGAATGTTGGTTCCCGTCAGCTCCCAGAGACAAGCAAGTTAGCAGCTAGATCCTTGGGTGTAGGAGCCAGAAAAATCGTAGTAGCTAGATGCGCAGTTCAAACTCTTCACTCCTCAGGGAGAAGCTGTCTGTGAGGGAGAAGCTGTATGTGAGGGAGAAGCTGGGTATGAGGGAGAAGCTGTCTGTGAGGGAGAAGCTGTATGTGAGGGAGAAGCTGGGTGTGAGGGAGAAGCTGTATGTGAGGGAGAAGCTGTATGTGAGGGAGAAGCTGGGTGTGAGGGAGAAGCTGTATGTGAGGGAGAAGCTGTGTGTGAGGGAGAAGCTGTGTGTGAGGGAGAAGCTGTATGTGAGGGAGAAGCTGGGTTTGAGGGAGAAGCTGGGTGTGAGGGAGAAGCTGTATGTGAGGGAAAAGCTGGGTGTGAGGGAGAAGCTGGGTGTGAGGGAGAAGCTGGGTGTGAGGGAGAAGCTGTATGTGAGGGAGAAGCTGGGTGTGAGGGAGAAGCTGGGTGTGAGGGAGAAGCTGGGTGTGAGGGAGAAGCTGTATGTGAGGGAGAAGCTGTATGTGAGGGAGAAGCTGTATGTGAGGGAGAAGCTGTGTGTGAGGGAGAAGCTGTGTGTGAGGGAGAATCTGGGTGTGAGGGAGAAGCTGTATGTGAGGGAGAAGCTGGGTGTGAGGGAGAAGCTGGGTGTGAGGGAGAATCTGTGTGTGAGGGAGAATCTGGGTGTGAGGGAGAAGCTGTATGTGAGGGAGAAGCTGGGTGTGAGGGAGAAGCTGGGTGTGATGGAGAAGCTGTATGTGAGGGAGAAGCTGGGTGTGAGGGAGAAGCTGTATGTGAGGGAGGAGCTGGGTGTGAGGGAGGAGCTGGGTGTGAGGGAGAAGCTGTATGTGAGGGAGAAGCTGTATGTGAGGGAGAAGCTGTATGTGAGGGAGAAGCTGGGTGTGAGGGAGAAGCTGTATGTGAGGGAGAAGCTGTATGTGAGGGAGAAGCTGTATGTGAGGGAGAAGCTGTATGTGAGGGAGAAGCTGTATGTGAGGGAGAAGCTGTATGTGAGGGAAAAGCTGTATGTGAGGGAGAAGCTGTATGTGAGGGAGAAGCTGGGTGTGAGGGAGAAGCTGGCTATAAAAGGACCCCTCCCAGTCTCATGGCCTGTGCCTGTGGTGGAGATTATGACAAGGGTCTGCCTCAGCTTTTCCTACAAGTTTCTTTTCTTTTTTTAAAAAAATATTTTTTTTATTGATTTCAGAGAGGAAGGGAGAGGGAGAGAGAGATAGAAACATCAATGATGAGAGAGAATCATTGATCGCCTGCCTCCCGCACACCCTCTACTGGGGATCGAGCCCGCAACCCGGGCATGTGTCCTTGACTGGAATCGAACCTGGGACCCTTCAGTCTGCAGGCCGGTGCTCTATCCACTGAGCCAAACCGGCTAGGGCTTGTCACTCTTTCTGATGTGCGTCTTGCTCATGTGACGGCATCTGAAGAAGGGAAAAGTGGCCTGTGCACACTTGGACTTGGCTTGGGTTCTCCTGGGAAATGTTTCAAAGTTTACCGTGTTGTCATAACTGTAATCATTCTGTTCAGGTCTGAAAGGTATCTGAGGGGAATCTTAATTTGGCCTTTATTGTTTACTAATGGCATTGCAGGGAACATTTACATTTTGTCTAGAAAAATTTTATCTAGAAAAAAAATAAACGGGATTGTAGTGTTTAAACTCAGTTTGTTGTTATTAAATATATGAGGACTAATCTTATTTAGCATTCCACTGCTTATCCTGGAGGGCAAAATAACATAACTAACCTGAAACCTTTCCCATAAATACACGCTTTTTTTTTTTTTTTTTTTTTTTTGCCAGATGCTTGCATGCATGTCATTGGACTGTTTGAAAGCAGTCGCATTTGATCTCTGGGTAACAGATGGAAGTATTTGCTACACAAACCTTATTTAGAATATCAACTTTTTCCCCCTCCCCTAATTGCATATGTTTGGCAGCGGCCTTTCTCTTCTAGATGTGAATGAATGTGGGGCAGCCTCCAAATCTAAACATACCCTAATTTCAAAAAGCGCAATCCCGAGCTCCCGATTCCTGTTTCCTGAGGAGTTAAAACCCGGTGAAACGACACAGTTACTAAATACACTACATCCTTCTGAGCTTTCAGAACCAAAAATCTTTCCGGTTCTCGCAAGGTTATTGACTGTTATTGAGTTCACATAGTAAAGACTCTTTATAAGCAGTTTATAACATGCCCAGTTGATTTGACATATCTTTTGCTTCTGATTTTTAATATACCTGTACTAGAGGCCCGGTGCATGAAATTCCTGCACGAGTAGGCCTTCCTTCCCCTGGCAGCTGGCACCGGCTTCCCTCTGGCACCTGGGACCTGGGCTTCCCTCCGGCCACTGGTTTTGTCTGGAAGGATGTCCGGAGGGACATCTGGTCTAATTAGCATATTACACCTTTATTATTATAGATTCTATATGGCAGGTGGTTCAGGCAGGCAGTTCTGGTCTCCCAGCCCAGCTTTGGTGAGGCGGCTCCGGCAGCTCTCTGCTGCTCTGGGGTTATAGCTCAGGCTGGGGAAATACAATCTTACAAGGAAGCTGCATGTGCCCTCCATGGAAACAGAGGTGAGGCTGGCTTAATTGGAGAAGAGGTCCTGTCCCAGTCCCTGATTGGTCAGTTTTCATGACAACGAGGGCTCCATAGTCTCACAGTTTGATTGGTCCAGAAGCAAGGTCCTTAGTGTTCATAATGGAGTCACTCTGATTGGTCAGTGAAGATGCAAACGAGGATTCAGTTGCACAACTCTGATTGGACAGGGAAGGACAGTTGAAATAAGATCCTAGGAACTCTCTTAGAAGGGTTGGTTGACTCAGATGGCAGGAGCACAGTACAGCTTTTCCCTGAAGCACAGATCGCGGGAGAGACCCCTGGTTAGCCATGACTCTGAGACTCTGTTGGTAAATGTGAACCCAAATAGCCACCAGGAGGCCTTTGTAACAGGCACATTCATTCTCAGCGTCCACAGATGGGAAGATGCCTATGCCAAATTTCACACTTCCCCGAGAAATTCTGGTCCGACTACTGACCTAAGAAAGACCACGGGCCTGTCTTTACTGTGTATTGACCTGAAACTAAGAGATATCCAAGATTTCTAGTATTTGGAAAGAGAGGAGGGGAGCAGCGAAAAAATCTATTGCTGTGTTCACATTCTTTATAAAGTAGATGGAGACTGAATTCTTTGCAGATAAAAATGATTTGGGGAATGACTTTTATGTTTAGCTCCAGCTTTGATCCCTGCTGCTATTTTTGTCCTTGGATTTTAGCTCTAAATGCAAACCTTGTTGGATAATGGAAACACTTGTTTGCTACTCCTTGTAACGACGCTGCTTTTGGTCCCGAAGGAGGTCTCCCCTCAGAAGAACCTGAATTGCACATCCTTGCGTGTGGTGTTGAGAGATCATCACCCTGTCTGTCTCTACCAGCCATTGTTTTTATATTAACTGTATTCTTCCGTGATGTGCCTCTGGCTTCTTTGAGCACATTCGCACACTTTTTAGCTCAGTGGAGTACAGAGAGTATTTCTTGGCCATTTGCTCTTTAATAACTATTCAGCTCTCGTGGGAGGACTGTCTCTCCTGACACGTGTGTACTAAACATTTCCCAGTAATTTTCCATGATGGCAGGGGAGCAGCAGAGAAATAGTGCAGTTGGCTAGTAACCACGGTAAATTATTCCATCCCCACGCCATAAATGTACGAGATACCTCCTGTAAATCCCCCCCCCCTTTTTTTTTCCTGCTGATGCTCTGGGAATGTACGTACGGCTAGGAATATTATAGCTCATGTAGAATACTTTCAGGGTTGGCTTGTGTATGGTCATATTAGGTAGAGATTTCCAACGGTAGTAAACGTTGATTGTTTTATAAGTACAAGCCAAGAGCCTTGGATTTTACTAAAGCTTGGGTCACGACTTGAAATTATGCACGAACAGTAATAACATTGCATGCTTTTGACATATTAGCTGGAGAGGATAATTACCTTTCCTCCTGGAGGCCCATGATTGCGACAACTAAAATTTAATGTGCAATAAAGTTATTAAAGAAATAAATAGCCAAGTCTTTTTTTAAGGATATAAAACGCCTATCAACCTTATTTAGGAGGTTGAATGATTCCAGATGGCATCTCATGAGTGTTTGGTCCTGAATTTCTTTTTGTTTACTTGCATGTTTGCCAATATATGGTCAAGTGCTCAAGGTTTTAGGTCCCTGAAGAGCAGCTGTTCAGCCCTTAGACATACAACGTTAGATTGCTGTGCGTGTGAGGCTGCCATTTTTTGAATTCCCCTCAGCCCTGGGCATTTAAAGATATTCCAGTTATTCATTGTACCTGGAGAAGAAAGATCTGTGCGGTTGTAGAATGTGAATCTATGGATCATAAAAAGTGTATCTCTTGAAAAGCTAGTTTTCAATATTAGAGGAAGTCTGAGTCAACAAATAGTATGCAGACCAGCCAGAAACTCTTTAATGTGTAATGTTCACAAGGATAATTTAAATTGTCCTTTAAATAATGCAAAAGCATTGCCCCTTAAAGTTGCTAAGAGATTCCCTGTCCAACACAATAAAAGCTGTTTCATTCATAACATACCTGACATACAGATTCCCTGTTCCCCTGTCCCCAAGTCAAATGGTGGATGTCAAGTATGCAACCAAATAATTGCAGGCTGATGTCATTAGTGCTGGGATAGAATTGTGTGGAAAGAGCAGAAGAGTTGCTGAAGAGCCAACATTATTTGACCTTGCGGGAACCAGCATAATCTTCATAGTTGGGCAATGTTTGGGGCTATTCTTACATAGTAAACGGTAGGCAACATGTTTGAGAGAAGAGTTGAAAACACATTCCCAGAAGATGGAGCAGTTGGATCAAAGGCATAGATGTGAAAAACTAGAATGTATTTTGGGTGAGAAAGTCTGTTTCCGGAAAGTAGTACATAGGGGAATTGGAGTTGGAGTTAGACATGGATAGATCAGATTATTTTTTTTTTGTTATGGAGTGGTATGAGTTCCTTATGTATTTTGAATATCAACTACTATTTGGATATATTTTTTGTGAATATACAAGGGTGGGAAAAAGTAGGTTTACAGTTGTTGATATGGAAAATAATGCAATAATTAATAAATAATACAAGAAATAAACTCTGTTTCGTGTACTCGTGACTATAAACCTGCTTTTGCCCACCCACTATTCTCCCATTCACTTGGTTGTATTTTTGTTTCGTTGGTTGTATTTTCCTTTGCTGTACAGAAGCATTTTAGTTTGATGATGTTCCATGTGTTTATTTTCGCTTTTGCTTTCCTTCTTCAAAGAGAAATATCCAAAAAGATATTACTAAGACAAGACTACAAATAAAACACCTCCAAAATCTCCATAAAGAAGAATAGACTTGTGATTCTCCAAGTCTACAAAGTCTTGTGCCTCCTGTTAAAAATGCAGACCCTCACTTATAAAGAAGCAAACTACGCTGATAAAATTTTAGCTTGATATTATCAAAGGTTGGGAAAGAAAAGAAGCATGAAGCCTTTTATTGTATCCAAAAGAAAACTCAGAAGTATCAAAACCTTTTATTTTCACTCCATGACTTAATAATTCAATTGTATTTTGCTTTCCCCTAAGGAAAAATATCCATAAACAATGATTGAAATGGGTAAATAAATACATTTTTCCCCTGTAACAATCTTAGAACAACCGTAGGATTAAATTGAATTTCCTTGATTCCTTAATGAGAAATACCACTTTAACATGAAAGTCTTGCCTTCTGGAGGGGATTATAAACAGCTCAGAGAGCAAGAGAAGAACGTATTGTTTTAAAACATGCTTGAATAAATAAGTGTTTTGCAGATTACTGATAGTCAATAACACTATTTGGAAGATTTGGAGATGATCTGGTTTCCATTAAACATATTTACACTTTCGGATGCCTCATGAATAATGTCAAGCTTTCCTACAAAGGGATGCTAAGAAATATGAAAATACTAGAAGCCCGGTGCACGAAATCCGTGCACAGGAAGGGTCCCTAGGCCTGGCCCGCGATCAGGGCTGATCTATGAGGCGACCAGTGGGGCGATCGAGGTACTCCCACTGGCACCTACCTTGGCTGGCCTGGGGCCTGTGGGCTGGGGGCAGCTCCTGCATTGAGCGTCTGCCCCCTGGTGGTCAGTGCCGTCATAGTGACCAATCGTTCTGCCGGTCACTCCGCTGTTCTGTCTATTTGCATATTAGGCTTGTATTATATAGGATCTAGTTTTGCTGTACTAAGATCATCCTTATCTAAGGGACTCAGTTGACCCGATCTTGCCTTTTGATTTGCAGAGAGCACAGTCGGATGAACTGGAAAAAATTGAAAAGCATGGCCGGTCCTCCAAAGACAAGGAAAGTGCCAAGTCCCTGGACAAGCCCGAACAGTAAGCATCTCTTAGGACCGTGCAGCGGGCATCCAGGCCTGGGCGGGCTCACTCCCTTTGGAAAATGCAGGATCTTTTGTTCATCGTTGTTATGTGTGATATGAGCTTGGACATCTCTGTTTCTCTGAGTTACATCTTTTCCTCTGTACGTGGCTTTTTTCCCTTAGGTTCTTGTATGAGCTGTCACTAATCCCCAACTTTTCCGAGCGGGTCTTTTGCATCCTGTTCCAGTCCACGTTTTCGGAAAGCATTTGCTCGATCCGTCGCAAACTTGAATTGCTGCAGAAGTTGTGTGAGGTGCGTTGTGGTGTGTGGAGAGCGGGCGCTGGGATTCTGATGATTAGTTGTGTTCAGGCACGTTCACATTTCAGAAGAGTTTGATTTCTGAACTAAGAACTCAACAAATTTGAAGGCTAGCCGGCCCACGGAAGAGAACATGTTATGTCTGAGCTTTGAGAACAAAAGCTAAAGTGCACATAGGACCACAATGCTTGAATGTGGCCATTGCTGATCTTTTCTTTCTTTCTTTCTTTTTTTTTTTTAATGTTTTTATTGATTTCAGAGCAGGAGGGAGAGGGAAAGAGAGACAGAAACATCAATCATGAGAGAGACTCATGGATCGGCTGCCTTCTGCACCGCCCCCTACTGGGGATCAAGCCCACAACTCAGGCATGTGCCTTTGACTGGAATTGAACCTGGGACCCTTCAGTCCACAGGCCGATGCTCTATCCACTGAGGCAAACCGGCTAGGGCCAGAATCATTACTTTTCATGGCCCTCAAATACATCGAACTCCCTATTAAATGTTATTTGAAGGCATTTTATGTACTTTCTGTCGTATTTGGAAGGGTCCCTCATAACACGTATTGATTCCAACCAAAGGATTTAGGATCAGCTGTACGACTCAACAGAAGGTCAATCGTCTTCTGAAAACAAAGAGTACGTTTTTGGCAGAAATTAGCAATATGAACATTTAAAACAGTTTGTCGCAAACCGACAGTACCAATTGTTGTGGTTGAAAAGTAGTAATAAGGTCTTAAAGGCACATTTTCAGAGGATGGGACATGCAAAATCAGGTTAAATGATGAGTTTTGGAAGACGTGAGTATGGATTTTTCAGGGATAAACCTAAATTTGGACATTAATCCTTGGAACTATGTTTCAGTTTCCCGCCACTATGCCATACGTTCGTGTTGCTGCTGAGGTGGGTACCATTAGGCTGGCAGCAAGGACATTATTTTGTAGTAGCTGTCACCGTGTTGCCGTATTTGTTTCACAGAAATGGCCTAGATTTCTTCCTCTTGGAGACACTCCTCTTCAAATATGGTAACGGCCAATAATAAAGTTTGGATGTCACTCCACATGACCAGTGTCAGATGAATATCTGCCACTGACTTAAGAAAATTCAAGCAAAACTTAGTATCTGAGAGAAATGGCTCTTCATTCTGCTTACAGACTTTGAAAAATGGCCCCGGGGTGATGCAGGTGCTGGGTTTGGTCCTGGCCTTCGGCAACTACATGAATGGCGGGAACAAGACTCGGGGACAGGCCGATGGGTTTGGGTTAGACATTCTTCCGAAGCTGAAAGACGTCAAAAGCAGTGTAAGTATTTTGTGTGAATGAATGTAGGCAAATTGAGGATCGGAGTGTGTGTATGTGTGTTTTACAATATATTTTTATTGATTTCAGAGAGGAAGGGAGAGGGAGAGAGATAGAAACATCCATGATGAGAGAGAATCACTGATTGGCTGCCTCCTGCACACCCCACACTAGGATCGAGCCCACAACCTGGGCATGTGCCCTGACCCCCGTGACCTCCAGCTTCATAGGTTGACTGAGCCATGCCCATTGAGCTGGTTATACAAGCCAGTTGTATAAATGTTTCTTTAAGTTCCAAGGTTAAACATTTCTTTATGGTTCCGAAGTAAAGAAAAGTAATGGCCATCCCATATTTGTGATTTAGTGAATGACAATGTTTCCTGTAGTTTTGAGTGCTGTGCCTAATGAATAAGCAGACAATACTTTAAAATAATTATTTTTTCACTCTACCGTGCCTGCTAATATTTATCTTTGTGGACTCTGAGGATTAATTAATTTCCATAAATTAGAGAGTATATCTATTACCTTCTTCTTTCCTTCCATTTTAAGCAAAACGAAGATGAGGGAAAGTAGTTTGTATAGAAAATGCAAAAAAAAAAAAAAAATTTAAAAATTAGTGCCTCCCCATGTTCCAGAAAGGAAGCGAAAGGCTGTTTTTTTGAAGACTATTGGATATGAAACAATTTTACATTTTTTACTGTAGATCTATATACATTGCATCATTTACAGCTGAGTGGATATGAGTTCCTCAATCTCATTGGCTGCCGTAAAAATTTGTAATATGTGTTTGCATTTTTAAAGCTCCCGATTACTTGAAATAATGCTTAATTTTTTTATGTTCCTAATCTATATAGTATTAGCTAGACCGTCAGACTTACTCCTGGTCCAAATGTGTAGAAATGCTAGCAATATTCATCATCTCAGTGAAGACAGTAGTTATCCCTCTTAATAAAATCCATAAAAATTAATGTACTAATTTTCTGACGGAGGAAAGTAAAAATAGGAAAGTATTTATAGTTGAGACTCCACCCTTAAACAGCTGTGCTTGGCATTTGGAGCTTAGATGTGAGCACTGGGGAAAATAAGATCTTCTATGCCATTCAACTCCTTACTTCTAGTCACTCAAATAACTTGAAATAGAGAATTTCATACTTCCTTCTAAACGTTCTCCCCTATATCTGCTGATTTCCTGGGATTTCTTTTATTTAACACTATATTTAACCATTTATATATATATATATATTACTTACTTTGGTCTTTCTGCCTAGGACAACAGCAGAAGCCTTTTGTCATATATCGTTTCCTATTATCTTCGAAATTTTGATGAGGTAAGACAGTTTTTTGCATATAGGGTTTTTTTTTTGAGGGGGTAGGGGTTCGTCTTTGTTGTAAAGGACTTGGCATTATTTGTTTTTGCGGTTTTGCCACCCCTGCTGCCGTATGATTGTTATCGATCTCCGTGCTGATTGGTTAAAAATGATGTGTTTCTTGCTAATGAATTAGGACGCCGGGAAAGAGCAGTGTGTTTTTCCGCTACCCGAGCCCCAGGACCTGTTTCAGGCTGCGCAGATGAAGTTTGAAGATTTTCAAAAAGATCTCAGAAAACTAAAGAAGGACCTCAAAGGTAACGGAGCGTCTTAAAGAAACTCATGTTTGTGAGTCATGCATTTTTTTTTTTTAATAAGAGAAGCTAGACTTTTTGATGTTCTTGAACAGAAAGTCTTTTGGAGCCTCGTAGAGCTGAAAATTGTTTAGTATGGCTAAAGGAATTTTTTTTTTTTTTTTTTTTTTTTTACCAATCATCTTATTGTTTTGTTGTTTAAAAAGCTGGTTATTTGAATAGTCATCTCTTCCATCAGGAGCAAATTTGTCTTGTGTTTACAGCCAAGAACATTTGTGTGTTTTATCTTGTCACTGTTGAAAGATGACCAGGCCCTCCCAACCCTCCCTTCATACACTTGCCCAAGACTTTGTGAAGCTTGTGAACTTTCTTGGGGACAAAGCATCTTCTTTCACATATGTGGTCAAACAGCACACGTGTGTATGTCTTGTTAGTTTGAGAAGCCTTATATCATTTTGAAGAGTCTGAAATTGGTCAGATTTCTACCTTAAGATAGAATATTTACACAAAGAGTAATATTTACACAATATTTACACAAAAGTAAGCAGTGTACCCTTTTAAAAATTACGTTGTGGTTAAAATCTCTTTTATTCCCTGGTCATGAGGTTTCTTATTGTTATGGAGCTGCAACCACCACTGCTAGCTAAGCCTCTATCTCACTCTATCGGGCACAGACAGGGAGTGAGTAAATGTACGTGAATTTTCTTTTCTTTTTTTAAAAAATATATATTTTATTGATTTTTCACAGAGAGGAAGGGAGAGGGACAGAGAGTTAGAAACATCGATGAGAGAGAAACATCGATCAGCTGCCTCCTGCACACTCCCCACTGGGGATGTGCCCGCAACCCAGGTACATGCCCTTGGCTGGAATTGAACTGGGGACCCTTGAGTCTGCAGGCCGACGTTCTATCCTCTGATCCAAACTGGCTAGGGCAGTGAATTTTCATTGGATGTGTAACTACAGGAAAAAAAGAGGCGTGGTTACCCCTGTCCAAAAACCACTCAGATGATGTGATTTTTTAAAGAGATTCTACCCAGTTTGGTAATGCTTATCCAAACTGATTTAAAATGAAATGTATGGGGTCATATATATTCTGGTCGCCGATGCTGTTATGTGGATTAAAATCCACACAATAACATTGCATAAATTGGCTTGCAGTTTCTAAACACTCAGCACCCCTTATTATGAGCCTGACGCAGATTGGGCATTTGTGGGTGCATTGGGTACCCTCAAATATGGGTGTGCATTTACTGAACCCAAGAATGACAAGTTTGTTTAAAATAAATAAATAAAATTATGTTATGTTTGTATAACCCTATGTTATTATGTATTTAAGTATGACTTTTAAAAACAATAAGAGACAAACCATATATAGTATTTATCTTCCTTCAAAATTATGCCAGGTATATCGGTTTACAGGTTTGCTTATTAATATCTCCCTCTCTCAGTGCCAGGGGCATTTCTGGGGAATCAGAAAAATACTTTATACTTTTATTAACAATTCAGTCTTGCAAAGTAGGACTTCATAGTTTACAGGGGAGTGGAGAAAGGAGAGGAATGGCCATCGTACTTCTAGGGAACGTACGTTTGCTTATGATGGGAAGGATACCTCACTTATTTTTCATATCTGCATGCTTTCTTCCTGTAGTTATTAAATATACAGGTAGCCATGAAAATTGCAAGTTCTCACAAGACTTAGAGCTAGACAGGGAGAACTCACAGACACCAGATAGTGGGTTTGAAGAGGACCAGTAGCCACTGCCATTGTCCTACTTTCTCTTGCACATCTGCCTTTTCCAGCGATGGGGTGGCTCCAGGTGAAACATTGAAGGAGCATCTTAGCAAGTTTTGAGCACCTCAAAGGGTTAAGAAGGTAATGATTTTCACTCAAAGGGTTTACTCCTTATCTGTAACTAGAGGCCCGGTGCACAAAATTCATGCAAGGGGCTTGGCCCTTGCAGCCCCGCCCCTGACCCTCCCCCCCATCCCACTGGTCAGTCTGGAAGGTCGTCCCGCATCCAGTCTAATTAGCATGTTAGCTCTTTATTATATAGGATAAGGCCAACTGCTCAGAAAGGTGTATTTCCTCCTTGAGAACCTAGAGCATTTGACCATGATAGTGTTTTCTCAAGTTCGGGCCTAGTGTGTGAACATGGGGGGCCCTAGAAAAGGAGGGCTTTCACGACCAAATAAATCTGAGGATTCACCATGTTCGCTGAAAGAAGGGTTAGCAGCAGTTCTCGGGTTTATTTGCCCACAGAGCACCTTTTTTTTCCCCCCCCACAGAATAGCTGGTAGGTCCTCTGGTCGGTGGAATGAATACATTTTAAGAAACACAGGCCTCACCCGACCAGAGTGGCTCAGTGGTTGAGCGTCGACCTATGAGCCAGGAGGTCATGGTTTGATTCCCGGTCGGGGCACATGCCCGGGTTGTGGGCTTGATCCCCAGTGAGGGGCGTGCAGGAGGCAGCCGATCCATGATTCTCTCTCATCATTGATGTTTCTCTCTCTCTCTCCCTCTTCCTCTTCTCTGTAGAAAGAAAGAAAGAAAGAAAGAAAGAAAGAGAGAGAGAGAGAGGGAGGGAGGGAGAGGAAGGGAGAGGAAGGGAGAGGAAGGGAGAGAAGAAGGAAGGAGAGAGCAGCACAGGCCTGGCTCTGTGTTAGTGACAGAAGCAGGGCATTTCCGCTGAGGAGCTTGCAGGGAAGGTGGGGAAATGAAGCTACAGTCCATGAAATAATGCAATCGTGTCTTCTGTGCTTGTACAATGAGAATTGGTTTGAGCCATTTACAAGGCTGTCAAACACTGAGGTCTCCTTTAAACACTAACAGAATTCATAATTGAATCATATATATATATATTTTTTTTTTGTTTGTCTTTTTTTGCTTTTCCAAAATTTGAGGTTTTGTATAGAAAAAAAGAAAGAAAGACGTTTTACAACAACGAAGGGAATCTTCTGAGCTCAACCTGAATGAAATTTAATTTCCGGGAAGGACTCGGCATGCGTGCACCATTTCATATCAACGAGGCATAAAATAAGAACCCCTCATTGTCCCTCTTTGGAACGAGATGGGTATAAATAGATGTGATTTATGCATTCATCTGACTACATGGGAGTGAGATGGGAGATTATTGGGTTATGTTATTTGGATATAATTAGTTTAAAATAATGCCTTTTTTGATAAATGGAGCCTATTAAAACTTATTCCTTCTAAGTGGTTAAATTAGGTGATTCATTTAAAGAAGATTCAAATATCCTGTCCACCTTTTGCCTGAAGCGAGTTGTTTTAAGAAGGAGTTTAAAAATGCAATAATATTTGTAAAGAATGTATCCTGATCGTGCCCATCTACTAAATATCCAATAAATACCGTCTATTCATAATAAGGAAAAAATAGAATAAATGGTGTGAAGTAAAGAGGTAAGAAAAGTCATTAAGACACTCACTTTCTGGCTAAATCACTTCCTCTCAGGTTTCTTAGAGAGTTGACTTTTATTTTCACGGAAAGACTGGGAGAGAATGCTGAGGGCTGAGACATTTGAACAAGACAGCTGACTCTCCTGTTAGCATTTAGAAGAGCAGAACATCCCCTCTGTCTGCTTTCTATACTTGCTCCCCAGATTCCCACCGCCCTGGGGTGCTCCCATGGCCTTCTGAGCTCGGGGACATGTGGTTGCTTAAGCAACCTGATCTGCTTTGATCTCTTCTGGTTGTCAGCAGCTTTCCTGGACGTGGCTGAGCCAAATGGCGATTTCTGTTCCAGGGCCTGTCTTGGGTAGAAAGCGTAGCACTTGCCACATGACTCCAGTCAACTCAGCACTTACAGAGCACCGAGAAATGAAGTTCCCCGAAGTGGGCGAGAAATTCTTTCCTGTTCCCTTCTTCCCTCCCCTCCCCTTCAGTCCCTGGACTTGAAAATGTTTAAAATGAATGGACTCTATCCTCACATTGAAGTAATGTCGGTGTAGAGGTCTGAGCTATATAGGAAAAACAAGTCTTTAAACTTGTTCATATTGATTTATATGTGTTTACGCCAATTATATTTACAATGGCAAATTTCTGATTTTTTTTGTTTGAGGAAAGGAAGCATAACGTTATAAATTCAGTTCAAAGGCGATCAGTAGCTTCTTTTAAAATCACGTTCTGTTATGATTTTAAAATGAATGTCAGTTCAACATGGGAACATCAGCCAACATTGAAAAACATAGGACAGAAAAATATATTTATCTGTAATCCTACAGTTAATGATAAATAACCTTAGTATTTTGGTCTATTTTTATCTGGGGTCTAACCCTCCATGTCTCCTGACTTCTCTTTCAAATTTTACCCCCCTCCCTACCCCTTTTGCTATGATCATCATGCATTCCTCAACATTGCCTTTTAATTCATTAAATCTCTCTTTGACGCTATCCAATCCAGTATTTATATTGCCAGTGCAACTATTTTAAAATCACAATAATTATTTTTTGTTTCCAAGATTTCTAGTATGGTGTTGTTGTTGTTGTTGTTTTTTTTACCATATCTATTTTTACCATTAAATTCATTTTTGTTCTTATTCTGCATAGTATTTCCCTTGACCTTTTTTATATTTGTAAAGCTATTTTAATATCCTTTTTGGATTTTCATAATTTTTGTTTCATCTGAGATGAATTCATCCTTTATTTGTTAATACTTATAAGCTGTCTTTCTACTCATTAATTTTCTTTGTGGTATTAGAATGTTGATTTAAAACAGTTGTTAGAAAATTACAGCCTGTGGGCTCAATGAGGCCTGTTCTTATAAATGAAGTTTAGTTGGAACAGGGCCATCCGCGCCCGATCATTTATGTTCTGTCTGTGATTGCTTTTGTGCTACAACGGAAGAGTTGAGGAGTTGTGACAGGAACTTATCTATCCATCCGTCTTGTGTTCTCTGTTTTTCTCCCGACCCCCCAAATCCTGCACTTTCGTGATTTTTCCATTGCTTTGACTTGGCCTGCCTTTGGCCAGAGCCAGACCTTCTCCT